TTTCTTAAGTAAATGCTATAAAAAGTGAAAATTAAAGATGTAAAAAATGAAAATAAAATAAAGAATAGTAAAATTAGCATAAAAATGTCCAGTAGTGGTCATTCACTTCCTCTGTTAATGTATTTGGCCCTCCTGATTCTCGGACCAGACAGTCTTGCAGTCCCCAGCATTCCACTGCACCTCAGTTTTGTAAGGTAAACCTTAATTTTAAGCAGGTTATATCTTAGTTATTTGTGTCCGTTTATTTTTGATTAATTAAAAGAAAAAAGAAAGAAAGAAAAAAAAAAAAAAAAAAAAAAAAAGGCAGTTTGTAATTCGGCTCTTAGGTGTCAGTGTTTCCGGTTTGACCTCCCAGTCTTTTTGGTTGCTCTGGCCTTCTTTCTCTATGGCTCTAGCTGGCTCCAGGACTATGTCTTCTGGCTCCAATCCCTTGTTTCCAGAAGGCAAATTCCCCCTACAATTTCCACGGCTATGCCCAACTGGGCAGTTCTTCTCTAGTATTCAGAAGCAAGGGGATGAATGGGAACCGGTGCCAAGGTGTCCAGATGTTCCGCCCTTGGCGGGACAGCCGCGATTCTTAACACACTGTCCCGTGTCCCCTGGCGTTTTAAAAAAAGCCCCTCTTCTGGGGGGGATTACTTCAAACCCAGCACTAGGTGTCGCTGCAGCCTTCTCTGGGCTCCGCTCCGCCTCAGTGGGCGGTAGTTTGCGCACCTGTCTACCGTGGAGGCAGGGCTGGAGCTCCCCGGCTACCGTAGCGGAGGCGGGGCCGGAGCTCCCCGGCTGCCGTAGTGGAGGCGGGGCCGGAGCTCGTCGCCGAGAACCCAGATCCCTTAGGCTATCCCCGCAAACTCTGACCTTTCCGTGGGTGACTGAAGATCTCCCCGGAATCCACGTGTCTGCGCAGCTCTGGGAGTCTCAGCTGCTCGATGGACCTCCGGGCTGTGCGTTTTCCACGCCTCAGAGAAGCTCTTTCCTTCCTGGCAAGACAATGCAGCCCTTCCTCCACGCCCCGCAGCCCACCGCTCGCTGCCTCCGCCGCTGCGGCCGCGGCCGTCCTGGTCAGGAAATCCTGTCCAGCGGACCCTCCCTTACCCTCCTTGAGAGCTCCGCTGTCCCTTAGCTGCCAATCAACTCTCCCTGAGTGACTCAGAAGCCCCCTTTATCCGTTCTGGGACCAGAGTCAGAACAGGTCCGACTGTTCGGTCGCCATCTTCAAGCTCCGCCTCTCTCTAACTGTGTTTTTTTAATCAGCGAATTTTACAACTATTCCTTTTCTCTATATTACACAAACAAAAAGATGATGATGAAGGACATAAAGCGCAAAAGCGGATCCTGCCCTCAGTAATAGTAAGGGTAATAAAATATGAGCAGGAGTAACTATGGCACAAGGTACAAAGTGCAGACATCACTTAACAGACGGCTTCCAGTTTAGAGATAGGGAGAGCGGGTGATTTATACATGACTTCACGGTTCTTGATGGCTGCAGAGAACTTAAAAATGAGGAGATGGGTCTAAGGACATTCCATGGCCGATGCCAATCCTTAATAAAAAAACACAAAGGCTAGAAAATAAATGAAATACAGCTGCTCTTTCAAAAAACAAAGACAACAAAACAACAACCCAAACCAAAGGCACCTACAGGGCCCCATGCATTGAATTGACAGTAAAGAAGGACCAGCACTATTCCTGTGGCATATGCAGCCTCACCATGGGCTAGGGACTGGGAATTCAGGGTTTGAGCACTGGGCACATGGAAGGGCAGAGGGAACACTGAGGTTGGAAAGGTAGGTTGGAGTTCTTTACAGAATAGGCCCCCTGCCACACTTGACACTGGCCAGTGCTGCAGAAGTTTGGAACCAATTTCTCAGAGCCCATTTGCTGACGCTCGAGGCCTTGGCAGCTGAGTTAGAAATAATCCCATGAAGGAGGTTCTAACTGGGATACGGCTCACTTGGGGTCATTCCTACGATCGCAGATTTCTCTACATTAAGTACCCATGCTGGATTCAACTCTCCATTTTCAGATGATCCCTCCTTCTACGTCACTAGCAGAAAGCCATTCAAAGGTGAGATGTAAACCTAATATACTGGCCAGAATATCAGCTATGCCTGACTTGTAATTATTTTATATTCCAAATTAAAATTCTTCCCAAATTTTCAATTATTTTACTTAGCAGAAAAGTAACACAATAGTTTTCTCTGGCAATCAATGTCGCCCTCCTAGTGTCATTATTAAATTAAACTTTTAACTGCTCAATGTTACACTTTGAAGTGAAAACAAGGGTCTAAGTAAATGTAAGTATTACGTAAAGTGAACTGTAAATATTCCAGAAATCAGATCTGGTCCATTATGGGATTCTTAACAGGAAGGCTGTGGCCAATGATTGCGGGTGGGGAGTAATGATTAACAATTTATACTGGGACAAATTTTGTACCCCACTTTTGAAGAGGTTCTAGCTGCACCATATTTATTAAACCACAAAGCATCACATACTTGTTTTTATTGCCTAAAAAGCATCCAGTTCTTCTTTTGTGGATAGCAATGAGATGCATTTAAAAGAATTGAAATGGACACTGAGATGAGGGAATAGAGTATCTGCTTATTTTCTAAACCACAACGGTTTGGTGTTTCCAGAGAAATGTTTGCTTATTTGCATTCTGTTTTGATGGCTGCTTTTCTGGAAGGATGTATGAGGTAAAGGGCCACCGCTCTGACTGAAAACCTAAAGGTTCATTTTCTATGGTAATACTTAGTAGGAAAAAGACATACTATTATCCAAATGTTAAATCAATGGTGTTGCTAAATAATGTTTCCTAATTAATTGCAGTAGTTATTCTATTTTAAAACCATTAAAAATTCTTGTGATTTAAAAGCCACAAAACATTAAGTGGATTCCTTATTTATGTAGCACAAACCATATGCTAGGCACTGTGTTGGTACAAGTTCAAATACATTGCCCAGTACAATGCAATGAAACTATAATGTCAAGCAAACCATGAAAGTAGCATGTCTAAGTACTAACATTCTTAAAAATAACACAGATCAAATTGTAGTTACAATGAACAGTACAGTACAATCTCTATGAATACTCTTCATGTAAAATGGATACAAATCTGACTTTAAAAATAACACATAATTAAAATTAGAAAAGTAAACTTTGTTCTAATGCCATAATTAAAGATGAGCTACCTGCCACCTCTATGGATAACAGTTTCATACCTGTTCTTCCAATAATTCCTGCCACAAGATATTGATTTCGAATAACCTATTCCAGCGTCTTCAGTCCATCGGCACACTGTGTCCAACGTTCACCAAGTTTCTAGTAAAGGCAGAGACCATCCTTTGTCAGCACAGCTTTCAGAGACAGTTATCACAATCCTCAAAGAAATTCTTGACATCAATTGTTCTCTATTACAAAGCTTTAGAAGTTGCTTTAAAATAATACAGGTGATTTGGGGAAGGAGGGTATGTATGGAGGGAGATATGGGGGCAAAAAATCAATAAAATATATTTAAAAAATAAAATAAAATAATACAGATGAATCCTCTATATTTATAGATGAGAAAAACTAATTTCCATAGGATGTAACTATTGAATATTTTATACTACAAAGCTAAAAAGTAGCACAACTAGAACTCTATCCTATAACTGTTTATTCTAAATTCCTGCCCTTTCCATTTTATTGTCGTTTTTATTTGAGAATTTAGCATTTTTATAGACATCTTCAAAATAGAGCAAACATTCACTTTTTGTGCTGAAATTGTATGCAGGCTATAATTGTCTTTAAAAAAAAATACAATACATCAGTAATTTTTTAACCATCTTTACATGCCAAGAAAATTTTCATCTGTAATACACAAAAGTTAGGGAAAAACTTTTAACCTTATAAAAACTATGTGTTAATTGAGAGTACTCCTGTTAAATATACTTAATTGACTTTTTTTCTCTTCACATCTCATGATCCATAGAAAATTCCACAAAATTTAAACACAGGATATGTACAAGTACTAGCAAAACTAAATAAATAATTTTATTACTTTTTTTTTTAAAGTATTCTTCATAATATGTTTCCCAATAAATTATTTTGTTACCAGAATATAGATAATAACTAACAAGTGTTCAACTTATTTCTATTTTACTTAAATATGAGCAAAGAATTATTTAATTCATGTTATCTTATTTTGATATGTAATACCAGAGAAAGCTTTGTACAAAGCAACGGGTTAAAGACAGAGCCAGAAAACAGGCCTCATCCTGAAAACTCGCTGTCTAAACAGGCTAGACATGAATGCCTACCTCTAAGGTTACTGTAATAACTATGAACTTCTGCACAAAGTCTCACAACCACTAGCCAACTTTAAATGAAGACACATGTCCAAAAGTTTCTGAAAATCATAAGCTGGCAACATCATAGCAGATGATTCCAGTATTAAGTCAAATGAAATACCAAACAACCTCTTTGTAAAGACTTGATAACATAAACTTTGTGAGAAAAAAAAAAAAAAAGCAAGTCCCTAAAACTGCTATTGAAATTCACACATTGCTCCATCAAAGAAAAAGGGATAGGATATCCTACACAGCTGAAATTCTCAAATTTTAATATGCATGGACTTTTTTTTTTTTAAGTGCAGATCCAAGGAGCTCCAGTCCCAGGAATTCAGGTCTGCTTAAAGCCCGGGAATCTACATTTCAGCAAATTTCTTAAGTGATTCTGAGCAAGAAGCCTGTGGGCCACTTGTTGAGATTGATTCCTGTGCTTCCCAACCTATCTACTATTGCACATAAAGCATCCTGCCCATTCACCCCAAGGGCGGATGGAAAGGAATGGTACCCAGGTCCTCCTGTCACCATATGCTGTGGAACCCCAGCTGGGAAGGACAGCGTAAAGTAGGTTCTTCTACTCTTCTAAAGTGTGATGAGACGTAAAGAATAAGGGTACATGTACTGGGGTCTCAGACCACAGGTCCCTTGGGTTCCCTTCTTCTCAGGGTCCTTACCTGTAGCTGATCTTCCAGAACAGCTGTGGCACTCTCACCACTGTTTTCATCAACAATCACCACCATGTGAGTTAATGAATTTACCTTCACCTGTTCAGCCTCAAGATCATTTTGCAAGCTCTAGAGAAAGAAAAAAAATTAAGATATACCATTATCTCTACTCTCTCACATTTACCTATTTAAAATACACTTGGTTGTCAATAGTAATTAAGGACATTTAATGAGGCATCGTGTTTAAATTTCCAATCATTACCCTAAGTGTTCTACTAATGAAACAAGCCCGTTATACATCTTTACATTTCAGTATGAACCAAAGCAGTTTGAAAATGCAGTGTCATAACAGATGGCAAGTGGGATGTCTTTACTTTCAGTCCAAATTGTGGCCAAAATAATAATAATAACAATAATAATAAATAATGTAGCATAAATGAGTTGAATGCCTATACTAGGCATTCAGGTAAGAATGTAGAGTCGGTAAATTTAAAAAGCCCTGAATTTAACTATACAAAGATCATTTTCTCTAGTGCAGCATGGCATAAAGTGAGAGATGAGTAGATAATATTTGATAGTCGGAAGCTATTCTGAAGAGCTATCCAGGAAAGCAGATAAAGATAAAGATGACTTTCATTCTCACTCCTTACACAGGAAGAGCATGGCAGGTGCTAAGATGTATGTATACAGGTAATTTATTTAAACACTACCAACAGTGTTGTCAAATGCCTTTGAGTTGCATTTAAAGTATCCCTAAAGCTTTATTTATCAGTAAATATATGTATATATCAGTTATCCAGATATTTCAATGAAAAATAAGATTATTCAGACAACTTGCAGAGGGGCTAGTTGTTACCTTGCCTTGACTATGAAAAGTTTTCTTCTTAATTTGTGATGAAATTAAATTATCCACTAAATTTTTATTCTTCATTTAGTGCCAGATACTTTTCCAGATTGGAGAAGAAGCAATAGATTTCCTTAAAGGGTAATACAGATAAATCTGAGAGTTTGCTTCTTTGCACGGCATTGATGCTCACACACTAGAGTGTTTAACCACTTACAGGACCAAAACAACCCCTGAGAATCTTAGGGAAGCTCTGTGCTTTCTTAAGAGCACTATACATACCCACATAAAATGTTAGTAAAGCCACGTCCTCATGGACCCCGGCTTCTAAGCTGCTGATTAGCAGGGGACACTGAAAAGTGTCCCAACCCTGCAGTAAGGACAGAAGCCCGTGAGAAGGGTAGGTGCTGCTGTTTCATAGTTGATGAGGTAGAAAAGAAAAAAATGAGCCAGATTTACTTTATGATCTTCTAGCAGCTTTTGCAAGGATTGTAAATCGTCATCCAGGGGACAAGTCTCCATCTTCTGAATGCGTTCTTCCATGAGTGTCAACCAGGAGAAGAGCTGCTGCAGCTGCTGCTTCTGAATCTCCATCAGCACGTCATGCAGCCTGTGGGGAGGGACACAGCATCAGCCCCACTTGCTTTTCCCCTTTGCAAAGGCAAATGCACACAATACACTCTCCTGGCAGCTAACAATCTGGGTAGAGTGGGGTGTACGGGGTGTCGGGCAAGGAAACTCACTCTTGTCTAACCATTTAAAGCAGCACTTAGTCTTTAAATATAGAAACAAAACACACACCCACACACACACACACACTTTCATTTTCTCCTAAATAGAATCAATTAAATGCAGTACAAGAATGCAAATAACAGCAGCCACCATTCCTATCAGAATCATTGTTTCTTCAATCAGGAATTCCTGCCTATTAAATAGTTGGAAATTGCAATGGAATGTAGTTTGCTCCTTAATACACAATGCAGAGAGGGGGGAAAGAACCATGGGAGCCTGGGGAAGTGAGAGGGGGGCAGGACTGTTTTGGAAAATGTAATAAATTGTAAATAAATACTACATAGTCCTGTCTTCACATTGAGTTAATGGTTAGCCAATTTGATACCGCACATCAATATCTATCCATATAAAATATCCTTTCCTATACCTGATGTCTGTACTCCAACTTCTACCTTTTAATGTGGTTATCACATCAAGATCATACAAAACTCCTGCAACATCACACATTTTACAAGGCAAGCTCTGTAATTATCTTTCATTCACAGACCTTTATTTCAACTCAACTGGACAACACACATAGTGGAATAAAATGTTCATTTCTTTGCTTCCACTCATCAGGACTGTCTGTCCATACTCTCCACCCTGAGGGCCTCCCACCTAGCATTCAGCAGGGTCATCTGTTCCTGGATTTCAAACTCCTCTTCATCGGACAGACTCCCCTGTGTTATCAGCTGGTTTCCTGCCTGCAGGACGCTCCCCACACTGCTCTGGTGCGCAGTCAGCTCCATCATAAAAGCCTAGAAGAGTACATCACTGAGTCTTGTGAGCAGCTCATTGAAAAAAAAAGTAAATAAATTAATGTTTCAATATCAGGGATGCAGAAAAAGGCAGCCATGAAGAGGGCAAATAAAGTAGACTTTGGCCCAACTTTGAATATAGGAAAGAGGCACTGGCCTAACTAAAAAAGGGGAATCTATTATATCAAAGAAAACAATATTACATCTGCTATTAGTAACTATTTTTAAGTAAATGCTGATGATGATACTGAGAGACCATGACATGGAATTATGAGAAAACAGAATAAATAAAACACCGTGCTCACCCAAGAGAAACTGCTTAAAGAACCCGACAATTGCTATTATTTTCAAACCAAAACAGCACATAAGACCTGTCGACTCACATACTGGCCCCAAAACAAACCTACTTCACCAAAAAGAAATCTCCATACAAGCTAATCACTACAGTGCAATATACTATACTCTCAAAATAGTAGGAAATGTTCATTGTAAAAAAGTATACATGAACACTTTGGCTTAATCGTACAATAAATGAAAATAACCGCTTCCTGGGGAACATTCCAACTCCAAAGACTGAGTACATTGTATTAATTAGCCACTTGGTGTTTGAAGGATAACAATGCACTTCTGTGTCCGTGGCTCCACAGAAGTTACATGTTACAATAAGATTAAAATCTGAGACCTAATTCCAAAGCACAGTGAGAATCGCCCGCGCCGACTTTAAACAAAGCCCTTATTTAAATGTCACGAGTCCTAAAATGTGCCATGACCTTCCCGCGGGGCAGAATGCTGGAAGCGCACACATCAGGGCAGAACCCGAGGAGGCACAGGCACCGTGGCGGGCATGGCCCCCTCACGGGCCACAGATGACTTACCTCGTGGGTGGCAAACTGCTCTTTGACTTCCTCCACGTCCTCTGAAATGTCGTCCTGCTCTTGTAACGTGTCCTCGGCAGAAAGCAGCCAGGTCAGCACCTCCCCGGGGCTGTCTGGTAGCTGTCCAGGTCCATGTCCACCTCGGTGATGGTGCTGGGGGTGTCAGCCCGCGGGCTCCCGTGCTCTTCATCAGGCGCTGAGCTCTAGGAAAACAGAGCCGAGAGGAAACCCCCAGGCAGCGGGAAGATGAGGTATTTGTTCAACAGGGACAGGCTGCATGGAGAGCGGCGGACAGGAAGAGCCCGCTGTGTCTCAGACATGCAGCCAGCTCGCAGGCGCTGGGAAAGCCAGGCTGGAGCTCCTCAGAAAGCATGTATTGGAACCTCAAGAACACAGAGCAGCCTGCTTTCCTGGATCCTGTGCTCAGGGGGAGGCTCACACAGGTGGGAAGTGACAAGTCACCCACGTGAATCACTTCTGAATAAAAGTGAAATGGCTCTTAGTGAAGCTGGAAACTCCGTGGTCCCAGTAAGAGATGCTGTTTGAGGTGCCAGGGCTAAAATAGGAAAGGTGCGTGCAGGATGGTGTTGGGCCTTAAAGGATAAATCTCAGTTAAAGAAAAGGACATGAAGATTAGAACTCTGCTCTGACACTAGCGAAACTGCTTTTACTGAAATGCATGTTAGCATTTTATTTTTGACCCTGAAAGGCAGGCACACATACAGGCTGCCGATGGTGATTTTTGGAGGCTGCTACCTCTAGTTCACTTGCTGGTCTGGGTTTATCGTTGTTGTTGTTGTTGTTTTAAACCCATGGGAATAAATTCATCCCAAACCATGGAATATTTTTATTTACTTTAGAATCTCATAACCAAATGAAGTCTTTTTTGTTCATTGGTTCTCTTTTAGAGCAAAACTTCTTTAAAATCTGCTGACAGCCCATCTTCACTTAATCACCTCCCATCCACAATGTTTATGTTTCAAACATACAGCAATATAGAGGGGAAACATAAGAAATTCTCATGGATTCGACAGCTCCGATTTGTTAACAGTCCCTTTCAGTTTTGGTGTTGGTCCCCCTCCCATCCAACTGAAATGGCTTTTGCCAATGTCACCAAACACCTTCCCACTGACAAATCCACTTTTCTAGCACCACCTTTACGGTGACCATGTTATTAGCAACAAACTAGGACATTTTTATAAAAACGATGCTAGGACAATCCGCATAAACCAAACTGTCCCAAGCAAACCTAGAGATCTGGTCACCCTCTCTCTTAACTTAAACTCTCAGCCCCACTACATAGCTGACTGCCCACCCTCCTGAAACCCTCCTTTCTCTGCCTCAGGAACCCCACACTGGTTTTCCTCCCGAATCTGCAGCCAAACTGTAAGTCATGAATCTCCTCAAAATTAAGCCTGGGCCCTGTTTTCTTCACTCAGTGTACTTAGTCTGAGTGATTTCATTTATTCCTGTCGGTTTAAAGAAACAACTATAATAGAAAAAGTATCTCAGATCCAGGAAATCCTTAATTAGACTTAAGAGCACATTAAACAGTGTATGAAACCTATGATGTTTACTTAAAGGAGCCTAGAATGGTAAATGTGTGAAATACAAAGCAGAATACACTTGATATAGAGAAATAAACACATTAATCAGCTTTGGAAAGCCTTACACTTCATTGAAATGTATCATTATACTCTATAACATAGTTGAGAGACAATGTTCCTGAGCTTTTCAGGTTCATAACAGTGTTTAGGTAGTTGTTTGTCCATGTTCCAAGTGTTTATACCTGGACAAGAAGGCCTAATGTTAGAAACTACAAGAAAACATCAGTAATTCTAGGAAAATGACAATAAATAGATGAGAACTCGCATAGAACATGTATAAAACACTTCTCCAACTGAGTTGTTTGTGTAGAAAAGGTATCTTAGATCCAGGAATTCCTTAATTCGAATTTAGAGCATATTAAACAGTGTTGTTTACTAAAAGGAGCCTAGAATGGTAAATGTGGGAAATACAAGGCAGAATACACTTGAAATAGAGAAATAAACACATTAAGCAGCTTTGGAAAGCCTTACACTTCATTGAAATGTATCATTAAACTCTAAAACATAGTTGAGAGACAATGTTCCCGAGCTTCTTCTCTTCATAACAGTGTCCGGGAAGTAGTTTGTATATGTGTGCTAAGCTTATATGTGGCCAAGAAGGCCTAATATAGCAAACTACATGACAACATGAATAATTCAGGGGAAAAGACGGTAAATAGATGAGAACTCGTTTAGCAAAGCTGAAACTGATTCTCCAAGTATGGTTTTAGTGTAGAAAAGGTATCTAAGATCCAGGAAATCCTTAATTAGACTTAAGAGCACATTAGGCAGTGTATGAAACCTATGTTTTTTACTAAAGAAGCCTAGAATGGTAAATTTGTGAAATACAAGGCAGAATACACTTGAAATAGAGAAATAACACATTTAGCAGCTTTGGAAAGCCTGACACTTCACTGGAATGTATCATTAAAATCTAAAACATAGTTGAGAGACAATGTTCCCGAGCTTTTCAGGTTCATAACAGTGTTTAGGTAGTTGTTTGTCCATGTTCCCAATGTTTATACCTGGACAAGAAGGCCTATTGTTAGAAACTACAAGAAAATATCAGTAATTCTGGGAAAAAGACAATAAATAGATGAGAACTCGCATAGAACATGTATAAAACACTTCTCCAACTGAGTTGTTCGTGTAGAAAAGGTATCTTAGATCCAGGAATTCCTTGATTCGAGTTTAGAGCACATTAAACACTGTATGAATCCTAGGTTGTTTACTTAAAGGAGCCTAGAATGGTAAATGTGTGAAATACAAGGCAGAATACACTTGAAATAGAGAAATAAACACATTTAGCAGCTTTGGAAAGCCTTACACTTCACTGAAATGTATCACTAAAGTCTATAACATAATTGAGAGACAATATTCCCGAGCTTTTCAGGTTCATAACAGTGTTTAGGGAGTTGTTTTTCCATGTTCCCAATGTTTATACCTGGACAAGAAGGCCTAATGTTAGAAGCTACAAGAAAACACCAGTAATTCTGGGAAAAAGCCAATAAATAGATGAGAACTCACATAGAACATGTATAAAACACTTCTCCAACTGAGTTGTTCATGTAGAAAAGGTATCTAAGATCCAGGACTTCCTCAATTTGAGTTTAGAGCACATTAACCGTATATGAATCCTATGTTGTTTACTTAAAGGAGCCTAGAACGGTAAATGTGTGAAATACAAGGCAGAATACACTTGAAATAGAGTAAAAAACACATTAAGCAGCTTTGGAAAGCCTTACACTTCACTGAAAGGTATCATTAAACTCTATAACATAGCTTAGAGACAATGTTCCAGAGCTTTTCAGGGTCATAACAGTGTTTAGGTAGTTGTTTGTCCCTGTTCCCAATGCTTATACCTTGACAAGAAGGTCTAATGTTAGAAACTGCAAGAAAACATCAGAAATTCTGGGAAAATCACATTAAATAGATGAGAACTCGCATAGAGCATGTGTAAAACACTTCTCCAAATCAATTGTTCATGTAGAAAAGGTATCTAAGATCCAGGAATTCCTTAATTCGAGTTTAGAGCACATTAAACAGTGTATGAAACCTATGTTGTTTTCTTAAAGGAGCCTAGAAGGGTAAGAGTGTGAAATACATGGCAGAATACACTTGAAATAGAGAAATAAATACATTAAGCAGCTTTGGAAAGCCTTACACTTCACTGCAATGTAGTATTAAACTTTATAACATAGTTGAGAGACAATGTTCCTGAGCTTCTTCTGTTCATAACAATGTCTGTGAAGTAGTTTTTATATGTGGACTAAGATTGTATGTGGACAAGAAGGCCTAATAAAAGAAACTACACAAAAACATGAATAATTCAGGGAAAAAGACAGTAAGTAGATCAGAACTCGTTTATTACAGCTGAAACAGATTCTCCAAGTCAGTTCTTAGTGTAGAAAAGGTATCTAAGATCCAGGAAATCCTTAATTAGAGTTAAGAGCACATTTAACAGTGTATGAAACCTCTTTCATTTATTTAAAGTAGCCTAGAACTTTACATGGTTGTCCCACAAGTCTAAAAAGAGAGAAATAAGTAAATTGAGCAGCTTTGGAAAGAATTACAGTTCACTGTATTGAAGCTTTACACTCTATAACATAGTTGAGGTACAATGTTCTCGAGCTTCTTCGGTTCATGACAATGTGTAGGAAGTTGATTGTAAATGTGGGCTATACTTATACTTGGACAAGAAGGCCTAATATAGGAAACTACATGAAAACCTGAATTATTCATAGAAAATGTCAGTAAATAGATGAGAACTCACTTAGAAGAGCTGAAACAGATTCTCCAAGTCAGTTCTTAGTGTAGAAAAGGTATCTAAGATCCAGGAAATCCTTAGTTAGAGTTACGAGCACATTAAACAGTGTATCACTCCTATATTTTTTACTTCAAGGAGCCTAGAACTTTAAATGTGCGTCACAAAACGCTTGAAAGAGAGAAATAAGCAAATTAAGTAGCTTTGGAAAGCCTTACACTTCACTGAAATGTATCATTAAACTCTATTAAATAGTTGAGAGACAATTTTCCTGAGATTTTCAGGTTCATAACAGTGTTTAGGTAGTTGTTTGTCCATGTTCCCAATGTTTATACCTGGACAAGAAGGCCTAATGTTAGAAACTACAAGAAAACATCAGAAATTCTGGGAAATGACAATAAATAGATGAGAAATCGCATAGAACATGTATAAAACACTTCTCCAATTCAGTTGTTCGTGTAGAAAAGGTATCTAAGATCCAGGAATTCCTTAATTCGAGTTTAGAGCGCATTAAACAGTGTATGAATCCTATGTTGTTTTCTTAAAGGAGCCTAGAACGGTAAGTGTGTGAAATACAATGCAGAATACACTTGAAATAGAGAAATAAACACATTAAGCAGCTTTGGAAAGCCTTACACTTCACTGCAATGTAGTATTAAACTTTATAACATAGTTGAGAGACAATGTTCCTGAGCTTCTTCTGTTCATAACAATGTCTGTGAAGTAGTTTTTATATGTGGACTAAGATTGTATGTGGACAAGAAGGCCTAATATAAGAAACTACACGAAAACATGAATAATTCAGGGAAAAAGACAGTAAGTAGATCAGAACTCGTTTATTACAGCTGAAACA